CGGGGGCCGCCAGCCGCCGCCGCTGATTGGCAGGCGCACCCCTCCGCCAGCGCCCGGCGCCCGTGCGGACGTTCGATTCGAATCCTGCGGCCGAGCCGGCTGCTCTGTTTCTCTTTTTGCCCGGCCGCGCCCATTGGCGGAGCTCGGAGCCGTGGGGCCCCCCGGCATTGGCCGGCCGCTGTGTTTTGGCTCATCCGGGCTCGTGGTTGGCCACGGCCGGGCGCTTGGGGCGGGGCCACGCGCGCTAATTGGTCCGCCGTGGTCCTGTTTGAACTCAACTTGAAAACCTTGAGTGCCTGCTGATTGGCCAAGGCCCCTCTGTTTGCTGTTGTAGGCTTGGGGGTGGGGCGGCCAAGTTCATTCATTACTTCATTGAAACTGAACATGCTCAGCTGGAAAAGCAAGACAGAGTGGCTTTGACTCACTTCCTCTGAAAGATGTGGTCATCTCGAGAAACAGAACGATCAAAATAGAAAACAGAGCTTTGCAGCTGCTCAAGGCTCAAAAGCATTTCATGTTTTTAAGCAGTCCTACTTTTTTTTTTTTTTTGAAATGTTTTATTGAAATATAATGTACAGGTAGGGAACTGCGGATGTTACACCTACAGCTCGCAGACTTTTCACAATGTGAGCAGCACTCAGATCAATGAACGGAACATTACTCGCACCCCAATAATCTCCTTCCTGCCCCCTTCTAATCTCTACCCACCCCAAGGATCGAGCAGTCTCTTCCTAGGTTTTTAGAGCCAAAACTTAGCTCTCTGAAGATGTAAACCAATATTAATGTACAATAAATACAATTGCAAGGAAAAAAGTGAGACTTTCTCAGGGACTAATATTCCAAGCCAAGAGTATCTTTCCCCTTAAATTAGTTGACCTAACTGAAGCTTCAATTTCTATATGTTTTTTATATTTTTTAAAATAATGAATGTTTCTACACAGGTACTGGCTATCAACACAAGTTTGTTTATATATGCTGAGCTCCCCACCTTCTGGATTAGGACCTGACCTTCAGGGTTGTATTTGGGAATTGTATGGGTGGGGGAAAAAAAACAAACAAACCCAAAAACCAACCAGGAGTTTAAGCAGATTGGGGAAGGGGCAGCAGACGTTAGGAATGTAAATGTTGGGCCGGCCCTGTGGCTCACTCGGGAGAGTGCGGTGCTGATAACACCAAGGCCAAGGGTTCGGATCCCACATAGGGATGGCCGGTTGGCTCACTGGGTGAGCGTGGTGCTGACAACACCAAGTCAAGGGTTAAGATCCCCTTACCGGTCATCTTTAAAAAAAAAAAAAAAAAAAAAAAAGGAATGTAAATGTTGCTAGGGATTCACTGTTAACATTTGTTTCAGGAAAACATAGTTTTTAATCTGAACTACTAATTACAGAATATATTTTAACTAGTTATGGGTATACAGAACAGGAGGAGGCTAATAGTAAGAAAGCAAGCCTAAAATGGGCTTAATTCTCCATTTAAGAAAACTTCGGGCCGGCCCGGTGGCGCACTGCTACAGTGCGCCGCTTGGGAAGCGCGGCGGTGCTCCCGCCGGAGGGTTCGGATCCCACATACAGACCGGCCGCTCACTGGCTGAGCGAGGAGCGGGGGCAGCACCGAGGGGTGCGATCCCGTTGCCGGTCCCGGTCCGGTACGGGCGCGACACTGAGGGTTGTGATCCGTTGCCGGTCACGAAAAAAGATTAAAAAAAAGACAAAAAAAAAAAAAAAAAGAAAACTTCATATATTTGTTTAAGTATATAAATAAGGAAAGGTTTACACCAATGTTTATGTACTGATGGAAAACAGCCTCAGGCACTATCACCAGTTAGTCCCATTGGGTTAGTCTTGTTTGTTTGCTTGTTTTGAAGAGATAGATGGCAACTTTTCACCTGCCTAGAACGTGTCTCTTGCTGTAATTGCACTTGGAGGCCCCAAAATGCACATGGGCAGGCTGAGACCTGGAGGGTGGCTGGAGAGTCAAGTACAGCTTGCAGCCCTTCCTTTCCAGTAATTGCATGGTGAAAACAAAAGTGAACAGCCAGCAGCTTACACTGCCAGGGAGCTCAGGCCACAAGCAGCCCCAGAACAAGGAAGTCGTGGTGGGGCTCTAGACTTTCACAAGAACTTACAGGTGTCAAACATGCCAGGGCCATGCTGGGTCTATAGTGGGCAAACACATTTCTGGCTTCAGGAGAATGTCTCCCTTAAGCCCCTAGGTCTTGATTAAGAAGTTCTCAAGGAAGATGAGGTTCCAAAATTGTGAAACCTGCTATTTCCTGGATATCAAGGCAGTTCATCCCTAAGGTTTATTTAATGTTTACCATTTGCAGGGCACAGCTGTGGGCACCTGGGAGTGGCACGAAGGGCAAGGCCCCCAAGCCAGAGGGACTCGGGTTCTGGTTATCTTCTGTGGGCTTAAGGTCACTCTGGGAAGAGGGAGGGAGAGCAACAGAGTTCAGCTGTGATTTGCAGTCCTGAGAGGTGTAAGTGCTTAATCAATACTTTGACTCCTTGGAATCCGGTTGGAGATGAATGGCTGGGAAACGGTAGGAGTGCCCCCCTCCTGGGAGTGCAGGGAGAAGGAATGAGGTCATGTTTGCAGAGGGCTTTGAGCTGTTGGGATGAAAGCAACTCCCCAAGTACAAGGTATTATTAACTGAAGGTATTATTATTTTAATCTGAGACGACAATGTGGCAGGTAAAACAGAGCAATAAAAACATGCCCATCAAAAACAAATGAAAGAACAAAATCCTTGTTACATCAATGGCCTAGGTTACAGCAGGAGATATGATGCAGCAAGCAAGAGGAGAAACAATCGTAGCCAGTACTTCCTGGGTGCCAGGATAACAAGGATGTTGCGATTGCAAGTTGTTGAGTCAGTCCTGAAACAGGCACGATAGCTGGACCATAACAAACAGCTGCCATTCACCAAGGACTGCCTATGAGCCAGGCACTGCTCTGAGAGTTTAATGTCTATTAACTCACTTCAATTCTTCCAACAACCCAGAATCCCATTTCATAGGTGAGGCAGCTGAGGAGAGGAGGCGTTTCCCCAAGGTCACACACTGATAGGTGGTGGAGTGAAGCAGTGGTTAACCGCTGCACCACACTACCTCTCTTGATGCTGTAGCTGCCACCTCAGTGGGACTCACAAGGGACCCCTTCCAAACCTGAGCTATCAAGGGCTCTGAGATTTCTACTGGGAGTGCTTGAAATGAACGAGCCTCCATGGGAGAAAAAAAAGCACCAACCATCTTGGGTAATGGCTGGGAAGGGATGGAGAGTTGCAGTGCATTCCTTCTTCCCTCCTTCCCGCCTCTTTTCCCCTGACCCAAACAGACCCAACAAAGCTAAAGAGGGAACTTGAGGGCTTGCAGAACTCCCAATAGGCCCGAGACTCAGAGAGGGCATGGAACAGACTATTAAACAAAAATTATTATTATTGGGCCGGCCTGTGGCTCACTTGGGAGAGTGCGGTGCTGATAACACCAAGGCCACGGGTTCGGATCCCATGTAGAGATGGCTGGTTAGCTCACTGGGTGAGCGTGGTGCTGACAACACCAAGTCAAGGGTTAAGATCCCCTTACCGGTCATCTTTTTAAAAAAAAAAAAAAAAAATTATGGGCTGGCCCGTGGCTCACTCGGGAGAGTGCGGTGCTGATAACACCAAGGCCCCGGGTTCGGATCCTAAAAAAAAAAAAAAAAAATTATTTTTTTTTTTTTT